AAAAAATTCATTAGCAAGTGATGATGAAGCCACATTTTTTATAACGATTTTTCCCTTATCACTTTTTTATTTGAGTTGGGACCCAGGCTTCAGGCTTTATTTTGTATTTACTTATTTTCTAAGTTTTTAAAATTTATGAAGGCAGAAAGGGTCAAATGTTTACAATTTACAACATAGTTATATTAAGGATGTACACGGAAAAGTTATTTGAAACAGAATAAATTCTTGGATTTCCTAATTAGTCTTTCCTTCTATAGATGTTGGCCCTGGTTTTGTCTTTATAATAAACAAAATTTGAAGATTCCAGAGTTTAGAAGTATGTGAAATTCACTAGATGACCCTTTAGAAGAGATATTTCTTTTAAACAGAATTGACATCTTTTGCAAATTCTTTGTGTATATATATATACATTTCAGTTGTGTTTCAAATTATTTTCTAAATGAAATTCAAATTTTTCATTTTTCAGATATTGACAGAGCAAGTATGTACTCAAGTTGTACACAAACCACATCCAGAGCCAGATTCTACAGTGAAAATTCAGAATCCAAGTGAGCAAATAGCAATTCTTTATTGTACTGCAATAGAAACATGTGAGACTAAATCAAAACTTTTTCCAACCACCTAAATCATTATGGTGTTTAACTAGTTCATGACAGTTACAACTAACTCACTTACCATAGTGCTAAGCTTTACTTGAAAATCAGTAAATACTTTTTGAGTGGAAGATATGATGTAGGTATAAATCCATAATATACCATCTTTTTGTTCTTTTATAGTGATTCTTAAGGTGGTGGCAACTTTGTTAAAAAACTCTACACCAAGTGCAGAACTGATGGAAGTTCGTCGTTTATTTTTATCTGACATGGTAAAACTTTTCAGTAACAGTCGTGAAAATAGAAGGTAAGAATTTTGAATACTATAACAAAACTTTATTTCATAATTAATCTTATTTTCTTTATTTTTCATCTCTTTCAAAGAAAAAAAATTTCTAATCCTATATTGCTAGATATTTTTAGAAAAGACATTGTATGTTTGTTTGAAATCATCTGCATACTATACTGCTATTTATTTTTTATGTTGGTATTTAATTGTATGGATATTATATTTTAATAGAATATATAAATATATATCCATAAACTATTATTTAAAATGCACTATTGCTTTTGGTGCTACCTGTCACCAACAGCACTTTTATTGTAATGGTGTTGGAATTGCTCATATTCATCCATGCTTTTCCAGAGTTTGTCTGATAAGTGATTGTTGTCATGCTGTTTTAAGCTAGCTCTCTGAGACATCGGGTACAGTCTGAGACATGGTTGCTGGCTGAGTCTTTAACAAATATTGATTGATTGTGTGATGTGCATAAAGCACCTTGTTGCACAGGTTGTCTTAGTACAATTTAGTGGGAAAGGGATAGATAACAACAATAAAGCAATGGTTACTTCATTAAGTGTGCTGTGAGTGCTACATGTGATGAAGGAGTAGAGAAATAATAAGTAAATTTGACCGGGAGAGTTAGGAAAGCAATTTCAAATGATAATTTGGATTTTTCCAGGTAGAAAAATGGAGGAACCTCGTTCCAGGTATAGAGTATAAAATGTGCACAATGATTGTGCACAATGATGGTGCACTGTGTTTTACCTAGGTCAGGTCATGTTTTCACTATTTATGTAAATTTAAAAATAGCTAATTCTGATATAGTTTAAGTATTTTTAATGAGTTTATTTTTTCCCACTAGATGTTTATTGCAGTGTTCAGTTTGGCAGGATTGGATGTTTTCTCTTGGCTATATCAATCCTAAAAATTCTGAAGAACAGAAGATTACTGAGATGGTCTACAATATCTTCCGGATTCTTTTGTATCATGCAATAAAATACGAATGGGGAGGCTGGAGAGTCTGGGTGGATACACTCTCGATTGCCCATTCCAAGGTAACAGGAATTAGCATTTAATAGTATCAGGGTTTCAGCTATCCAGTGAATAGCTGAAAACATTCTTCTGGTGCCATCTTGTGGGCATCTTCCATTATGGCCAACTCCTTTATCCCAGTTTTCTCTGTTTTCTGTAGGAATTTTAGACTGCAAAAATGACCTCATATGTTCTATAGCAGATCTGAGAACTTGAGTCTGAGACAGTTGCTCTTTTACAAACTAAACCATACCTACTGATTCTTATAAGACTATTTCATGAAATAGACTCTGATATATACTTTTTAAGACTTTTAAAAGGTAGTCAGAAATCATTTTTATTTTCAATAAATACATCTAAAGTATTTAAGTTTTGTGGTATTTTTAATGCATTACCTTTTCTTTATTTATAATCCTAAAAATCTATATTTTAAATACTATCTAATCTTTGGTAAAAAGAGGATGTGGTTTCCCAATCCCTGCTGTTGGGACTTGATTTCATCTTCTGTAAAATGAAGGGGTTTTTGTTTCAAGATAATCTCTAAAGAAAAGTCCCTTTCTACCTAAAATTTTGTTATCCAGTCATTTAAGTATAAATTAATATCATATGTGCCTATAAAGAAAGATTTTAAATTTTTTTTTTAAATTTTAGAAGAGCTTTGATTTCTGTTAAAAAATTTTATCATGTATTGGCACCTTATTTTTATTATTGCATTAACAAATAAAATAATATTTTATAGGAAAAGATGTTGCATTTTTTCATGTAACTATACAAGGTATGATCAAGCAATATGGTGAATGTTTAAATTAAAAAAAATTACTACAGTAAAAGACACATCACCATTAATCTCCCTCAAAATACTCCCCTTTGCTTCAAACACACTTATCCTATCGTTCTTGCCACTTTCTGAAGCAGTTCTAGAAGTCCTCTTTTGTGTGAGTGTCTTTAGTCGCACTGTTGTAGCTGTCTTGATGTCCTGAATCATTTTGACTTTGGGGAAGAGCCAGAAGTGGCAGGGAGCCAGATCCGTGAATAAGGCCATAAAGACACACCCCAATGTTTTTATTTGACAGGAATTGCCATACCGAAGTGATGTGTGACATGGAGCACTGTCATGATGGAGGATGATGTATGGCACACTTTAAAACACACCTTCTCTCAACCTTAGCTCAAACCCGACTGACTACACCAAACAAGTTGAAACTCTAAGGTTCGATGTGCCGCTTCCTGTATTAAAGATCCCTGCCTTTCTGTTGGATGGCACTCAGCAGCAGCATTCGCTGTATTTTGTGATCACAGCGGAAAGGCTCCATGTCACACATCACTTCTGGTACAGCGATTTCTGTCAAATGAAAACATTATGGTGTGTCCTCATCTATCTTATTCACCAGATCTGGCACCGTGGGGCTTCTGATTCCTCCCCAAAGTCAAAATGACCATGAAAAGTAAACATTTTGAATCGATTCAGGGCACCGAGGCAGCCAAGACAGTGCAACTAAAGACACTCACGAAAGAGAACTTCCAGAACTGCTTCAGAAAGTGGCAAGAACGATGGGATAAGTGTGTTCAAAGCAAGGAGGAGTATTTTGAGGGGGATTAATGGCAATGTGTCTTTTACTGTAATAAATGGTCTTTTTTTAAGTTTACCTGTGTGTCTTTGAACACATAAGTCATATATAACTCTTTTTGATGATTATTTGCAATTACTTGATGAAACAAAGCACTTGTCTTAGGATTCATATGTGTTGTCTTTGAAATCTTAAAATTTTTGGCACCATTATGCTATTATTACCATAATTTTATTTGTATCCTCTTCATATATATAAAATGCCTAATGTTTTCTTTACTTATTCCTAAGGTCACTTATGAAGCACATAAGGAATACCTAGCCAAAATGTATGAAGAATATCAAAGACAAGAGGAGGAAAACATTAAAAAGGGAAAAAAAGGGAATGTGAGCACCATCTCTGGTCTTTCATCACAGACAACAGGAGCAAAAGGTGGAATGGAAATTCGAGAGATAGAAGACCTTTCACAAAGCCAAAGCCCAGAAAGTGAGACAGATTACCCTGTCAGTGCAGACACTAGAGACTTGCTCATGTCAACAAAGGTGTCAGATGATATTCTTGGAAATTCAGACAGACCAGGAGGTGGTGTACATGTGGAAGTGCATGACCTTTTAGTTGATATAAAAGCAGAGAAAGTGGAAGCAACAGAAGTAAAGCTGGATGATATGGATTTATCACCAGAGACTCTCGTAGGTGGAGAGAATGGTGCCCTTGTGGAGGTTGAATCTTTGTTGGATAATGTATATAGTGCTGCTGTTGAAAAACTCCAGAACAATGTACATGGAAGTGTTGGTATCATTAAAAAAAATGAAGAAAAGGATAATGGTCCATTAATAACATTAGCAGATGAGAAAGATGAACTTCCCAATAGTAATACATCATTTCTCTTTGATAAAATGCCCAAACAGGAGGAGAAACTCCTTCCTGAACTTTCTAGCAATCACATTATTCCAAATATTCAGGACACACAAGTACATCTGGGTGTGAGTGATGATCTTGGGTTGCTTGCTCACATGACCGGTAGTGTAGATTTAACTTGTACATCAAGTATAATAGAAGAAAAAGAGTTCAAAATCCACACAACTTCAGATGGAATGAGCACTATTCCTGAAAGAGACTTAGCATCATCATCTAAAGGGTTAGAGTATGCTGAAATGACTGCTACAACTCTGGAAACTGAGTCTTCTGGTAGCAAAACTGTACCAAACATTGATGCAGGAAGTATAATTTCAGACACTGAGAGATCTGACGATGGCAAAGAATCAGGAAAGGAAATCCGAAAAATCCAGACCACTACTACAACACAAGTAAGTTATCCTACATGAGTTCTAAAAATACATTGGATACTGAGTTGTTAGCACCAAAGCAGAGTAATTTCTTACCAGTTAGGCCATGTTTATATATAACTGTGATATAATAGTAATTTATGGAATTGAGTATTATGGTAGTACATGTAAAAGAAATTTAAAATACCTGAACTATATTTCCGACTCTGCCACATTCTGTCTGTGTAATTTTGCTCAACCTCTCTGGGCCCAGATTTTCTTATACAGTCCAACAGGTTGTACTAGATTAACACATGGCCATTAGGGGTTCTACCAGTTCTAACATTTTATGACTCTGTGACTACATTTACACATTTTGTATTCGAGATCTTCATTCTGAATACTTGATTAATTTTAACCTTTTAAGCTTCAGGCCCAACCCTGTTCTGTGGATTATAGAAAGGAGGACTTGGAGCCCAGATTGAACTGATAAATGAAATGAAGGGGAAGGGAAAAGGGAACTGTTATTTATCAAGTGCCTACTATGTTCCAGGCACTGTGCTATATGTTTTCAGATTTAATCCTCACAACAACCCTGTGAGGTAGGTAATATGGTTGAGAAAATTTGGAATTATTAGCAGTGAGAATTTTCTTTACAACCACATGGATAGGAATATGTTATGAGAAAATTAAAGACTCTTAGGTCTGATGGTAAGACTTTGGCCACACCTGAGTAAAAATAAAAACCTGTGATGTTTTCGGATATGGATTTTAATTGTTGAGCTTTGAGTTTTAAGACTACTTCCTATTTTTTAGGCTAAATAATACCTTATACTTAAGAGTTGAAGAAAACCTTTATCCTTAATGATTTTTTTTTTGTTATTGTTCTTTGGGTTTTCCACTCACCTTTTAATGTCATCGAAAATAAATTTAACATGTTCTGTTATAAAGAATAAACCATACCTAACTGGTGTCTTTGTACTCTAATAAGAATCCTTAACAGTATATACTGTTTTTCTCTGTTAACTGCCAATTTCCATTTTTGTGGCAGTTGTACTACAGTGATAATTGGAAGGGGATGGCAATATTGAATTAGATACAGATTTAAAATAAAGGAAAGCATGCTGCATTGTTTATTGAACATAAAAATCACTAGGCTTGTCTGGTTTTTGTTCAGAGTTCATAGGCATTTTTCTGGTTTCCTAACTTCTCAAATGCATTTGTTTTCCAAATTGAAGGATTGTGAGTGAAATAGACTTTGAAGTTAACTTGAATCAGTTCAAGAAACATTTCTTTTAATCTTGTGTTTTTAATTATAATTAGTTGATGACATGTGTCCAGTATATTTCACTATGAGTATGTGCTCACTTTTATAAGGCAGAAATGTGGTCTAATGTAAAAACCACGTAAACAGAGGTAAAGAAGATTTGGTTTTTCATGTATATTTTGATGTTAAACTTAGGTATTTGATTTCCTTGCTTAGTTTCTGAAACTGCAAAATTAAAAAAAATGACCATAGGCTTTTCAGCTCTGAAAGATTCCTATGCAGGGAATCACCAGGTGAATGAATAGTGTATGTAAAATCTACTAATTAAATTACTAAAATCATATGCAGAAGCTTTACTCACTAACTCACTATGCCACACTTACTGTTTTCATTTTGAAATCAGGTATTGTTTTTGCACTCAACAAATGTGCACCTATTCTCTCTCCAGGCTGTTCAGGGTCGGTCTGTCACACAGCAAGACAGAGATCTCCGAGTTGATTTAGGATTTCGAGGGATGCCCATGACTGAGGAGCAGCGGCGTCAGTTCAGCCCAGGTCCACGTACCACAATGTTTCGTATTCCTGAGTTCAAATGGTCTCCAATGCACCAGCGACTTCTCACTGATTTGCTGTTTGCACTAGAAACAGATGTACATGTTTGGAGGAGGTAGAAATATTTCTTTTCTATAAATAAGACTTCTGTCACTGAAGAAAATGAATATTTTAAATTACTGGCATGAACTGATTCATAAGTGGATTAATAAATCTTAAAATTAAATTCATTAAAAAGAGTCAAACTGAATTTTTTTCTA